GGTGTTTATATTTTCCCCATATTTTTAGTGGGATCCTTATTCACTAACTCTGGGCATTGATGGCAAATCCTACCAAATGTACATTTGACAACTTCTCTCACCCAATTCCATGTGTCCTTATTTTTCTCGAAGGGCAATTGTGTGATGGCCTGATGCCCTTTGGCTCAGAAACTCATTTCAATTAAAAGCCTACCTTGGAAGGAATGTTTGGCTGCCAGTCAAGGCAGTTAGATGGTGATGCTGATTTTGTTATATAACTGGAAACTGCTAGGAGTGCAGCCAAAGGTTCCATGGTGTCCAAGTCCATCCCACATATCCATAGTAGACTCACAGGAGTCCATGGAGTGGGTAGAATGCACCCAGCATTGTCATGATCCCACTGGGAACAACAAAAAGCAAACAGTACTTCTGAAAATGTGATCAAAGTCCAAAGTATCTGTGTATTCCTTAAACACGCATGTTTCCATATTGTGATAGTTTGTCTGATAATATAGATGACCAATGGGAGGTTAGCATATACAAAATGGGTACACTTTCAAATGTTTATTAATCTACATGTTAATGATAAGGTCACATGTTTTTGTTTTAGGCTATAGAGAAATCCTAATTTATGCAAATGTAACGTTAATGGATCTCCACAGAAAAAACTTGGGTTGAAGGATAAGTGAGTAAAGGCGCTTGCCACCAAGTCTGACAATTAGAGTTCAACCCCCAGGACTCACAAGTTGTTTTCTGATCTCCGCATATATACTATGGCACCATGACACACACACACACACACACACACACACACACACACACACACACTAAGTAAATAAATAGACATAACTTTAAAAACTTAAAATCTTGGTTTTGGGTTCAAATTCACTCATCAGGCTTGACACATTGACTTGGAGATATTTAGGAATATAAAAATATATAGTGTGCTGATACACGAGTATGTGGCCATGAGTTTTACATTGTGTGTTTTTAGCAGGAAGGTGAAATCTCTCTCACACCCTCCAGCCCAGGAGGGTTAATCAACTTTGTGCAATGCATCCATGCTGTATACATCTGTATACTATCTTCCCATCAGTTGCCTAGACGTCTAAGTTATTGGCAGACTATCACTATAACTTGTGTTGAGGTGAGGCTGACACGCTACCTTACACTTTATCCACCTCCCATCACCTCATTGTGTATCTCACACCATCACAAGGGAATAAAGGAAGTGTAATAAGATATTTTCAGAGAGAAAGAGGGAACACATTCGCATGTGTCTCAGGACAATGTATCATCATGATCTATGTTATCACTTGCTATTGCTGTTAGTCTCTTACGGGACCTGATTTATAAATGAGACCTTATCCTAGTAGGTAGCTATGCAGGGGAAACAAATCACATGTATTGGTGGTATCCAGGCCTGCACTGACTTCTGCATAGCCTGGAAAGCTGCCAGCAGATTGCAGAATTGGAGCCACATCTAGATTGGTTTCCTGCACCAGTACCCTGTATTGCCCTAAGAGATAAAAACACAATGGTACCAGGATTCTGTGGAGATATTGCCAATCCATGCAACTGAGTTGGGCTCCTTTGAAACTGCCAGAGCATGCTGGCACTTGAAAGGCTCTGGGAAGTCAAGCAGGGTTGAATGCAGATAGACCTCATGATTCCAAGACAGGTATTTTCTCCATGGGTATTGGGTAGCCTTCCCAGAGCTGGCAGCACTGCAGGGGACCATGTATGTGCCAGTTGGCATGTCAGTAAGATGTCCGGTACCAGCACATGCTGTGGTCTTTATCACATGGCAGAAAATGGGACCTACTCAGCCTCAAGAAGGATAGACAGGAGCAGGAGGCTCTGGGGATGGAGCTGGATGCAGGAGACACAAGGCAATAATGGGCATCCAACCAAAGGCAGTTCATGATCAAGTTGAGGAATGAGCCAACAACTGAGCTGCCTCTTCCTTCCAGGAGCAGTCTTTGAGCTGTACCAGAGCTATAGAGACAGGGAGACTTAGTCGGGGGCATAGTGTGCAAAGTACTCATTGTTCAGAGAAATGTGGAAGGGGAAGAGCCAGAGCCCTACCCAGGAAGCCCAGTCCCTCCTGGCAGTGCCCAGTATATAGTAGGGTAGGGGGCTGTGTCAGGGACCTGAGAGTCATTTGATCCCAGCTGTGCCAAGATAGATGGGTGACCCTGGCAAGTCCCTCACCATGTAGTGGCTTCTTGTGGCTGCAGAGCAAATTTACATTAGCCAGAGCAAAAGCTACAGTTTCAGAACTGGAATTGAGATAACAAGGTGTGGTAGAGCCATGCTTGTTTGGAAGGCTTTCAGAAGAATCCCTGCACCTTCTGCAGATCCGGGTAGTTCCAGGTTTCCTTGGGCTTGTGGTACCTCACTCCATGCTCTACTGCCCTTTTCACTTGGCCATCCTGTATCTTAAATCATCTCCCATCTCTCTTAAAAAGACATTAGTCATGGGATGAGACCAAATCAAAACTTAGGATGATTTTACCATGAGGCACTTCATTATATCCGCAAAGACCCTTTGGCAATGTGATGGCATTCACGAGAACTAGGGGCGGGGCTTGGGGCCTGCCATTCATCCCACTGCACCCTTCTTGTCTTTGCTTCCTCACCACAGAGTGCCTTCTGCACCTGTCTCACCGAGAGTTGAAAGGATTCAATTTATACAGAAGCCTTCCAGAGCAGCTGGCAATCATGGAGCTGTCATTCATTAAGCAATACACGCCAGGACTTTGTCGGGTTTCCAACTCCCACCTGGTCCCTGAATCCAAGCACTGTGATTCTGAGCCACTAAAGCAGCTGTGCAGGGATTGTGGCATCAACATTTCTGTTCGGTCTTCAGCCACACGAGTGCAGAAGCAGGGAATCAGCTTCCCTGCAACTGCAAACATCTGTCACCAACCACTCAGCAGCCTAGCAGCATCCATCGCCTGCAGCTTCTACATTGAGTCTCAAGTGTGCTAAGGACTGTGGGCATGACAGGGACTTATGAGAAGCACTGAGAAACACTTGGTGCCCCCTGTACCCTGGGTACACCTGTGAAGCTGTCATCAGACCGTAGTGTTCAGATCAGGCCCTGGAGCTGCGTATACAAACACCATGCAACCCTTTCTCTCCCAGATCCTCCAGGACAGGAAGAAGCAGACAGGTAGATGGATTGTAGTACAGGAAAGTAAATTCTTATGGGTTCTGTCTAGCTCAATAGCTGCCTTGATGATGGCATGGGGTAAGGAACAAGTGAGTTCACTGACTTTAGAATCTGGCTGATATAGGAAAGGACATACAAAAACAAAGCTGAACTTTTGAAGCCTACAGTATTTGAAGAATGCTAACCCGTAAGGCTGGGGAGGGTGGCATTTAAAGTAGACTCTACAGCCCTGCTGTTTGTGACTGGGCAGGTGGTGGGGTGGATGATCATGACAGATAAAGGGGAGGTTTTAGTGACAATCAGACTGCCATTCAAAAGGCTTTGGATTTAGAGAGTGCCCAGTGTGAGTCAGGTATCCTGATAAATCGTCCCAGGCATCTAGCTATTCCAGCTTCATTTGTGTTGCTGTGATAGAACACCCTGACATAAAGCAACTTTGGGGAGAAAGGGTTATTTAACCTCACAACTCTGGGTAACAGTCCATCACCGTGGGGATAGTCACAGCCGCCGGAGCCACAGTTGGTCACATCACACTCTCAAGCAAGAGCAGAGAGATGTGAATGTAGGGATGCTCACTGCCTGTGCTCAGAATAGTTCCTCCACCCACACAGTTCAGGACTCTGCCTAGGGGATGGTGCCACCCACAGTTGATAGGATCTTCCCACATCAATTAACTTAGTTAAAATAATCCCCTACAGACATGTCCATGGTCCATGGTCCAGTATGGATAATCCCTCATTGAGACTCTCTTCCTGGATGAGTATAGGCTGTGTCAAGTTCACAAAGCTAATCAGTACACCAGCAGATAAACCAAAATCACTGTCCACATTTGACAAAACAGGAAAGGATGCTAAGTGATACGTTAAACTCTGCTCCAGCCAAACCCCATTATCTTACTGTCTACAACATAACCAGTTGGGGCTTCAGTGAAGAGGAAGGAAGGGAGGAAGGAAGGGAGGAAGGAAGGAAGGAAAAAAGAAAGGAAGGAAGGAAAGAAGAAAGGAAGGAAGAAACGAAGGAGGAAGGAACAAAGGAGGAAGGTGTCAAATGGCTGTATGTCCTCAGAGGCTGTGGTTTCAAGGGAAGGGAAGCTTATGATTGAGAACACTCCACAACGACTCAGAGTGAATGGAATTGCTCATCAGATTTAAGTTCCAGATTCAGTGTGTTAGTATACCAAGGAGAATTCAGCCACCCTGCCCTGATCCAAGCTCTCCTCACTGTTCTGAGTGCTACACAAAGCCTTGACAGCTTCAGTCACACGTGTTGCTCTGCGGAACACACGGGAAACTAAAATTCACATAACATCAAATTAGCCATGCCAACCTTGCCATCCTGAGATGGGTAGCACCTCCACACTGCTCTGCAACCTTTTCTTCTATCCCATTTCAAAAACATTTCCTTGGACAGGGACATACCCCAACAGCAGCTGCCACCTCCTGTCTTTGCCACCAGAAGTGCACTCTGTCTACTGTCTCTGACTCACTGCCTGGATTGTTCCTGAGCTTGGCTGCAAGCACAGAACACTCAGCATCCTCGTACCTGGCCACCTGCTCCATGTTGATACAGAGAAAGAATGGCAGTCTTCCCAACCCATGGCTCAGGTCTTACTTTTCACTGTAGAGGTGTGAGCTATGCTAGGGTCTCCCAACATGACTCATGCCCATGCACCTCCCTGCCTTTTACCATGGAGCCACACACTCAGACCCTTTCTGCTCTGTTCCAAGCCTACTGTGGCTCTCCAGGGGCAGTTGCTGGTGACAGTGGAGGAACTACCAGCAGGCTTGTCTCCCTATGCCCAAGGCCAGGTATGACTAATATTCTCTCTTCCTTATCATTATAGCCCCAGAAGTCTTCCAGGTATATGTGGATGGAGGCCCCGGGTACTCATACCCTGTGGACTGGTGGTCACTGGGTATCACGGCCTATGAGCTGCTACGAGGCTGGGTAAGTCCTGTGGAATATGAGGTAGAGAGGAAACATGAATCTGCATGGTTGGTGAGATGCCAGAAGGAGGTGCTGGACCAGGATTTTAGCCACCCCTCAGGGAGCTCTGGCCCAGCCACTCATTCTTCTGATAGTCAAGGAGATCCTTCTGCCCACTCAGGGAAGGAGGTCACAGAAGGTCTGTAGATGAATGGCCCAGGATGAAGCACCCTAGCCTCTTACTTTCAAGCTCCCTCCTCTAAACTCACAGTAGCATCAGAGCCCAACTTCCTCACTTGACTGAGTATTCTTTCTGTCGTTTCTCTCTCATCTTGCCCACCCCAAATCGTTCCCAAATAAATAACTCAGAATCTCTAAGGATGATCTGGGACAGTTAGTGCCTGCCTGTTTTTACTTTTGGCTCCTTTGAACTGAATTGCTGAAGATGATGGTACCATCTAACAACCAACAGCTCAATTTTTTTTTTTTTTTTTGGTTTTACTTATATAGCTGTTGGCCAATGGCTAGAGCTTCTTATTGACTAGCTCTGTCTTAGCTATTAATTCATTTCTATCAATCTAAGTGTTTCCACATGGTCTTATCTTACAGGAGAGAGGGTCCTGACCTCTTTTCCTCTCATGGCCTACATCTTGACTCCTCCCTGCAGCATCTCCAGAATCCTCCTTGTCTCCTAGGCCCACCTATCTCGCTTTCCTATTGGCCAACAGGGCTTTCTTTATTCATTGACCAATAATAGAAACATATTTACAGAATGACATCTCCCATCATCTCCTCTTTTCTGTCTAAAATAAAAATAAGGGCTTTAACTTTAACATAGTAAAATATATAACAAAAAATAAGAACAAATTTAGTCCATTAACATTATCAGGAATTAAAGAAAACATTCTATCATCTATCTTATCTTTGTGAGTCTAAAGTCTTATATGTAACATATCTTTAATCCTAACTAAGGAAAACTACAACCATAACAATCCATCAAAGACAACAGAAGGATAATACATAAACTCTAGAAATGACAGACACATCTTGTTACCTAGACAGTCACCCAAAGTTCTTCTGTTAATTGGTGCATTCATCTTCTGCCCATAGGCCATAGTGGGTATGGCAGACTCCTCAGCAAAGCAGGAAACTTTAAAATGTCCAACTGTATTGGCAGTTTGTCAATCACTTTTCCCTGTGTCCTGCAGAATTTCTGGCAGTCTCTTCCATGAAGCAGAAACCCTGTAGCACTGTCCACCTTGTATCTTTTTCTGTGGGTCCTGCATGCCTACTTTATAAAGCATATAGTTAAACAATCCAGGCAAGAGCAGTATCTTGTCCAAATGGCTAATCTTGCCATATTGGAAACAAACTCCATAACAAATTTTTTCGATGTCCATCTTCCCTTCTGACACAGTTGTTGCCAGGAGCAGTTGTACCTCACTGTCAAGAAAAACCCTAAACCATTTTAAATGCCATAAATTGTAAGTCTTTGAAAGGTTTGAAGAATATTTATCCATCTCAAATGTATCTCTGTATATCTAGAAATCCTAACCAACATAATTACAAGTTTTGATGGTTATAGGTAACTATATATAATTTGTACTAAATTATATGTTACATTTTTAAATGAGCTGTATAAACATAATACTAAACAAGAGGAGAAATATACATATCACAAAATTGCCTTAAATTGTATCGTATCAATAAATGAAAATCCATTCCAAAACAAAGTATTAATTTCTATACCACAATCCCCTTTTTACCTTTAAAAAGATTGGTTGTGATTCCCATTTAAATGAAAACAAACATTTATAAGCAATATTTGGGAATTTGGGCATCATTCTTTCCAAACTGCTTCCTGCTGGTTGGGGACACTATTTATACCATGGGGATCCTAAGAAAACACAAAAATCCTGGCTGTAGTCTGTAAGGCTGCCTTGTCCCAGCTGTTTTGAATGTTGGATCACTTGGGACACTGCTTCAGGGGGTCTTGCTTAATCAAACCATGTTAGTCTGGAAGGAATCCACAACTTTTCATTTTATATGGAAACAAAAATAGAAATTCTTTTCCCCAATAACCTGTCCTTAGAATTAAATTTTGAAGCCAAAGCATTTTAAAAATATATAAATGGGGTTAATTCAGCAGCATTGATAATCAAGTGTATTTTAGCAGTTGTTCCTTCGTTAGCAATTGAGCAATTCAAAGACAACACAATAGCATACAGTACACAGACTCTCTGTGTATTTCCCGTCTTTAGGTGGCTTTTTTTTATTGCTCCATTTCTTTTACTTCTATTTTTTCATTTTTTGAGACAGGGTTTCTCTGTGTATCTTTGGCTGCCATGGAATTCACTCTGTACACCAGGTTTGCTTTGAAAATCACAGAGATTTGTTTGCCTCTGCCTCCCGAGTGGTGGAATTAAAGGCCTGTGCCACCACACCCAGCTACTCTCTTTCTTTCTATGTTTTTAACAACCACTTTATCCTGTTTCTTTTTCTCTCCCAGCCTACATATATTTTAAACACACTGTGAACCTTTAGAGGTTGTTCTTTATCTTAATCTGTCTTTACTATAAATCTTTATCTTTTTCTGGCCACAAGTCTTTTATCTGCTAAATAATAACATTGCTAAAATGAAAGCCACAGCTGCTTTAGCTGCAGTCTATCAAAGATGGCGGGGTAACCTTTACCGCCAGCACTGAGAGCTGTGCTCACCGCCTTGGTCTATGCTGCCGGCTTGGAGATGTGGTCACTGCCACTGCCAGCTGCCCTGTTGTACACACCATTCAGTTGGTAGCAGAACCTCTTAAAAGAGCCCTGTGGGTTTTTTTCTGCTTATGCTGAGTCGGGAAACCTCCCTTAAAGGAGCCGTACCAGTCTCTGCTTGTCTCTAGCAAAACAGAGCCCACCCGAGAAAAATGCTGCTACCAAAAAGCCTTGCTTGTCTCTGTCCTTTTGTTTCTAAAATCCCTTTTTAAGCATTTGTCAAGGTTTAAGTGGAGGTTCTAGTACCCACGTTGTATATGCCATTCCGTTATGAGCAGTTTCACACCAGCCTGGTCCCAGAGCCTCATCAGCCCCAAGTAACGCAAAAAGACACTGTCTTAATTATGAAACTGTTGGCCAGTTACTAGTGTTTCTTATTTGCTAGCTCATTTCTATCAATCTGTGTGTTTCCACGTGGTCTTGGTTTACCAGGAATGCCGGGTCTGCATCTCCTTTGCCTGCTACATCTCTGCAGAGAAGAGAGCAATAGCTCATATTTTTATTTAAGCCATAACTCTTGTGACCAATCTGCATTTGGGATGTGTGTGTTTTTTTTTGTTTGTTTGTTTGTTTTTCTCTTTTGTTTGTTTGTTTTTCTCTACAAGTGTCTTTGAAAAATTACATCATCTCAACTCCCAGGCCCACAGTTTCCTCAGTCATGTAATGGAGATAATGTTTTGTGGGGCTGGTGTTAGAGGACATTTGCCCCTTGACTGTGGTCCTCTCCTTGCTTTTGGATCCACTGGCCAAAACGAAAGGTGTTAATCACACTGTCCACAAGTCTAACACATATGTGCATGTTCATGGTAACAGAGGGCAGCCTCCATGAAGGCAGGATCTTTTGTTATTACTAGTTAAAAAGTTTTCATTTATTTTACATCCCAACGGTTCCCCTCCTTCCTCGCCTCCTATTTCCTCCCCCTCCTCCCACCTCTCTTCTGCCTTCCCCCATCCAGTCCTCCTCTGTTTCTGTTCAGAAAGACGAAGGCTTCACGTGGGTGTCAACCAAGCATGACATATTAAGTTGAAGCAGTACTAAGATCCTTTCCTTGTATTAAGGCTGGCAAGGAAACCCAGTCTGAGGACTAGGTTCCCCAAAGCCAGCCTAACCATTAGGGACAGCTCCTGCTCCCGCTGCTAGGGTTCCACAAGTAGACCAAGCTACACAACTGTCACACACATATAGAGGGCTGAGGTCAGTCCCATGCAGGCTCCTAAGCTGTCAGCCCAGAGTCTGTGAACTCTTATGAGCCCAGGTTAGTTTCTGTGGATTCCCTTGTGATGGCCTAAAGGCAGAATCTTATTTGTGTGTGTGTGTGTGTGTGTGTGTGAGAGAGAGAGAGAGAGAGAGAGAGAGAGAGAGAGAGAGAGAGGGAGAGAGAGAGAGAGAGAGGGAGAGAGGGAGAGAATCCTTTCTGTTGGATGATCAGGCATGAAGAAATGCTTCTTGAATAAATGTATGATGAGAGCAGCTCTCTGGTTCAGTCAACTTTTTTTTTCCTGCTCTTGAACTCAGTTGCCAGCAATGTCTTGGCAAACAAACAAAGAAACAAACAAACAAAACCCCACAAGGATAGAAGAAAGCCTGCTTCTTCAAAATTAAGTTCTTCATTTTTCATTCTCGTGAGTTTTCTACTGAGAGACACTTTCCAGGGAAGAGAGAGAGTCACAGGCCATTGAAGGCCTTTGGTACAGGGATAAGGGACTGTGTAACTACCAGAAAGTGCATCTGTGAGGAGCTGGGTGGCCTTTCCCCCAACTTGTCTTTGCATGGCAGGACTGTTCAGTGAGTTATGACATAGCTTGCTTTCTCGTCTTCACACTAGAGACCCCTAGTTTAGTCAAATGGCCAGTCCAATAGCTCCTCGCCTTCCTCACCTTCCTTGTAGACAGGGGATTCAGAAGTCATCCTTCTTCCTGGAAGGACACACACACACACACACACACACACACACACACACACTGGCAGTGACAGAGTTCTGACAGAACTGAGGCTCCTGGCTTCCCAAAGACAAAATAGGCAGCAGTGGGCTTTCCTGCTTAGAGAGGTGTGGGAGCTCCAGGGAAGGCAGGCGAGGATGTGTGCTGCTGGTCTGGCTTGTCAACCAGGGTCTCAGAAATGCCCTAGTTCTGACAATAAGTAAGTAAATAAATAAATAAAAATAAAACCTGCTGTCTCTCTCATGAAGAACTGGGCACTATGCAGGAAGAACAGAGAGACCTGGTCTCCCGTGCAAGCAAAGAGAGGTCATTTATAGGCTGGGTAAGAGGTGCAGGGAACATAGCCTTTCTTGGAACCTAGAGCAGAATCTCAGATCTTGTCTCTGCAAACCTGCCTTGGGAAAAAAAGACCCAGGTGAGTACCACTTGTGATTGCAATTCCCACAGCCAGGCTCTGTGAGCCTGGAGCATGAGTAACAGAAAAGGCAGAAGAGACTTAGTGACCTGCAGTGCAGACACTGTCCCTCCTACCTGGATGCCACCCTGCCACCCTGGATGCCACCTTTGGGATGCGGGAGGCTCCTTAACTGTAGAGAGAAGCTGCCTCACATATCTGTAATGAACAGAGAAGGTCCCTCATCATTTGGAGGAGAACTGCTTCCTTGTAACAAGGAAAGAGACTCTGAGAGGAACCTCACTGGCTCATTAGGGACCCCATGGGTGGCCGTAAGCAGGGCTTCTAAGCAGTTGGAGTGCTCAGATCCTCTGTCAACCTCCATCACATCTCCCCAGCAAGGATGTGTGGAGATTTAAAGAACTAGGGATGTAAATTATCAAGTAAAGTGTGGTACCTGGGGATCAGCATTGTACAAACCCCAGCTTCCTAACTTCCACAAGGCTCCCACCCAGAGTGGCCTGTTGTGACCTTCCCAGCTTAGCAACCTTCACACACTACACAGGCCCTTGGGGGAGATGCTGAGCCCAGCCTGGCTGCCATCTATTAGATGATAAGTCCCCAGGTGTGGGAGCAGAAATGCTTCTTCATACTGTAATTCATGACTAACTTGCCTGAGCCCTGGCTTCCTTATTCATAAAAGGAAGATAATGAATACGGTCACTGTGTAGTAGAAAATGTGGCCAGAGCCCTAGTAGCATGGGGCCGAGGGGCAGAGTGCTAATGATGATGGCAGCATACAGCAGGACGGTGTCACAGGATCCATGGGTGCAGCTTGAGCATTGAGGACACAGTTGGGAGACCCCAAGTGGCATCTAAGCTGGTTCACCTGTGAAAACTGTCAGCAACTGTGTGAGCAGGCGTGTAACACAAATAAATAAAAGACCCAGAGACAAATATTGGGGGTTCAAACTTCAAACTGAATATTAGAAAAGCAAAGCAACCAGTCACTAGCTCTCACCTCTAGCTCAGGCTGAAAGGAAGGGCTGGTCCACACACAAGCTCTTCACCAAGTTTCAATCTGCTGCCTCTCCTCAGTGTGACTGGAGAATGAGAGCCTCTCTGAGACCTTGCCTCTGTCTTACATACTTCCCTAATGTTGGGATTAAAGGTGTGAGCTTTAATTCTCTTTTAGACTGATCCATTCTTGTGTAGACCTGGGTGGCCTTGAATTTACAGAGATCCGACTATCTATCTCTTAATCCCGAGTCCTAGGATTAAAGGTGTCTACTAGCACCTCCTAGCTTCTGCTGGGATTAAAGGTGTGTGCCTGGCTTCTATAGCTTATGGCTGACTTTGCTTTCTGAATCCTCAGGCAAGCTTTAATAAATCATAAATAATATCGATCACTACACAGGAGTTCCTGCATGACTTCTAAGATGGTTCACCTGTGAATTGTCAGCATCAGTGTGAGCAGGACAGAGAAGGGAGGCTGAGGCAGACTTTGCTGTCAATGAACCCTGTAATGAGTAGGGTTTTTCCTCCCACCGCCAGTCTTGTCCCGCCGCTGCACCAGCCCCAAATAATACACAGAGACCCTGTATTAGATACAATTCTTTTGGCCCGGGTACTTAAGTATTAACCCATTTCTGCTGATCTATGTATTTTCACGTGGCCTTCTCTTACCGGGGAGGCGGCTGGCGTCCAGCTCTCTCCAGATTCTCCATCTTGACTCCTTCTTACTACTTTCTCTTTCCTCCTTGTCTCCTAGTCCCTCCTATCTTCATTTCCCATTGGCCAACAGTGCTTTATTATTAACCAGTATGAGAAACATATATACATAATGACATCTCCCATCAGAACCCTGTCACCTGCCATAGGGTACACAGAGGACTTCCATGAAGAGCCCTGAGGTGTTGGGCTTTGAGGGGTAGATGGTACAGTGCCATCCCTTGTACTTAGGTAGGGAAGTGACAGGGTGGTAAGTATACATGGGCATGAGCTTAAGCATCATGTGCTTCTGAGTTCTGCTACAAGGGCAGAGCCTAGTCTAAGAGGCTCAACCCCAATGCTATAAACATTTGGACTGGGCTGACCTTTGGGGTGGAGATTGTTCACGAGGTGATCTGCAATGTAGTTGTACAATGTAGCCAGCAGAAACCTCGACAATCCAGTTATGACACCCCAATATTTCCTGGGGGCAAACTGCCCTAGACTGAGAGCCTCTGCCACAGTGATCAAGAGGACCGAGTGACACCTGCCCAGGAGACCACATGCAAGGGAGCTCTATCTGTAGAGGGTAAAGCTTGGAGATCTAGTCAGGACAATACTGCCTTTCCTAGCTTGACTGCCAACAACTTGCCTCCCTGTGCTGTCCTCATCTTTAGCTCCAGCCAATACCTCTTGGGGGCTGACTGTAAGTGAAAATATTGGGGTGTAGAGAGGTCAAGTAAATAGAGGAAGGACGTCTGGGGCACTCTACAGAGCAGGGCTCAAGTGCAGAGCCGAGAACCGCTGCATGCATCCTGGTTCAGGGCTCAACCTAAAGGGGCAAGGGCTGGTGAACTTGTCTCAGCAAAGCAGAGAGACCACAGTGCCTGGAACTGGGAGCCCTGGAAGTAATTCTGCTCTTTCCTGGACACAGGGTGGTCCTGGCTTTCTCATCAATCCTCAGACTTACAATCTCTGTGGAGATCATCCACCAGTTCCAGAGGGGAAACATTCTCAGGCTTTGGAGTTTCAAGTTGCCTAAAGGGGCAGCTATTCTGAGTAAAGGGATTAGAGGGCATGTGTGGGATCAGATGGCGGCCAGCCTCACTGTAGCAGATAAAATGACAGCCTACACCAGTTCTCCCCCTCTATGCCTCCTATTTCATGGCAAATTGCTTTTTCAAAAAAAAAAAAAAATGAGTTTCTTAGAATAAAGACTTACCCAGTCTCTGCTGCTGGAAACTGCTTTTGCCATCAGGCCTCTAAATCACCATACCCTCTAAAGACAGCAGCTCTGAAACAGGGCATCCTAAGGACAATGAGAACAAAGCAGTAGTGAAATCCAGCACTACTAGAAGATGCAGCGTGGCCTTTAATGCTTGCTGTTTAACTCAGAGGAAGACCTGTATCGCTGTGCCCTCCCAAACTGAGGAGGGCTGAACCCGGAACGTAGACGTTAGGAACGCCTTAGCCACAGCGCCCCAGGCTGACTTTAAATGCACGTGTTGCCCATGTCTGAATGTTGAAGTTCCATGCTCAGTGATGGGTCACGGTGCAATCAGTAAAGAACTACACAGCATGGGAACCTGAGTCTGACCCCATAGCAGCTCTGTGAAACTCAGAGGCAGTGGCAAGCACCTGTATCCCCAGGGATGGGGAGTTAGAGACCGGAGGCTCATGAGGAGCCTCTGGCCAGCTAGTCTAACCCATCTGGGGACCTTCAAGTTGAGTAAAAGAATTCATCTCAAAAAATCAGGTAGAAGGAGAATAAAAAAGACGCTCCGTTTCAAGATCTGGCTTACACACAGGCGTGCACACAAACATGTATACACATGACGCATATAGACCCACACACAGAGTTCCCATGATTGCCACTAGCGCTGGTATAGATGGTCTGCTCCTTCTAGTTTTTGGAAAGATTTCAGATATCAGAGAGACACTCCTTGGAAGTCTGGTGGAAATGAAGAACTCAGGAGAGTTCGTGAGTGGCCAAGGGTAGAAACTCGAATGTCAGTGACATGACATTTGGCCTCTGGCTGATTCCTCACCTGGATTTCTAGAGAGAGCAGGGGAAGGGAGGCGGGGTCTCTGAGAAAGCCCCATCTCTGAGCCTTAGCTTGCTGACTTTTAAAGTGAGGATGGAAACAGGGATGTCTTCTTCCCTGGCGCTCTTTGTCCTCAGTGTATGGGGGGGGCGGAGTCAGTGGTGGAACCGCCCAATGAAAGAGTAGAAATGGGGGCACAGCCCCACCTCCCAGTCCCTAGCCCATATCCAGGCGGTAGTGTTGTACTCTGGTTGTCCCATCTCCTACAGGGACCATAGAGCATAGAGCACCCCTGAGCTCACAAGCTTGCGCTCTGTGGGTTTCCTCCCACCCTCCGTTCACACCCAACACATATCCAGCGACATGTCTGCATGTCAAGACAAGGAGAGGTGGTGACTGACTTTCCAGCAGACGGAGGTTGTAACTAGAGATGTCCCCGTGGGTGCTCAATAGAAGGCAGCAGAACCCAGCCTGTGCCCAGCACCCAGCCTGTGCCCAGCACCCACAGTCCTGCCCCTTACACTCACAGAAAGATGCCCCAGCGTCCTCTGGCCGAGACATCACCCCCATGCCCTCCTTTTGCACTGCCCTGCGGTGTGAGAGAGAATGGGCCATAGCATCTTGAATAATTTTCCATCATCACAGACTTCCAGAAAGTGGGCTGCCCCTTCTAAGACATTCTCCCTGATTCTGGCTTTGTCCTTTGTTACAGAGGCCATATGAAATCCACTCGGCCACACCCATTGACGAGATCCTCAACATGTTCAAGGTGGAGCGTGTCCACTACTCCTCCATGTGGTGTGAGGGCATGGTGGCCCTGCTGAAGAAGGTAAGAGGTCAGGGAGCTATGTGAAAGGGACAGCTAAAGCAATAACACCCTGCCATAGGGTCATTCACAGATCACAAAGCCCAGCCATGGGGGCATTGATAGATCACAAAGCCCAGCCATGGGGGCATTCATAGATCACAAAACCCAGCACAGTGCAGTGTGTGACAGCATAGCCCGGCTCTTTTCAGTTCTCTGCAAGTGCCTAATAATCAGAAATATCTACTGCATGCAGCTGCTGGCCTGGCAGGTTTTAAGAATTCCTATGGTGGGAACTTGCTAGTAGGATGGATGCTGGTCCTCCAAGTGCCTGGTCCCTCGGCAAACCCAGTGAGTCAGAAGCTTGGGGCTTGGTGCACACAGGAGCATCAGCTTGCTCTTGGGACAGCTGTTCTCAACACTCACCTCCCAGATGCCATCCAAGAAGAGCCTGTTTAAGTCTGTGCCCACTGCTTTGGGGAAGCAGGGGTCTTTGCCAGCTGCCTCTCATGTTCTGTGGTCCTGATGGTTGGGATGTTTATGCAATGACAGTTGACAGCTGGGAGAGAAATGTTGATGGGAAAGGGACCCTTGTGGGCATGGAGTGACACACTCCTCTTTAGCACATGCCAGGTCCTTACCAACCCTGTTGGGCCTCACCCTGACCCTGTGCTTTAAGTGAAGGAGCTGCCACCAATCCTGCTCCAAGGCAAGGTGAAGGGACAATCTCAGGAGGTCATCAGGCCATTGGTCTTCCCTGTTAGGTGGCAGTTCCCGAGGTAAGCCCTGCTGCCCTGCTGCCCTGCCCTGCCCTGCCCTGCCCTGCCCTGCCCTGCCCTGCCCAGTGTAGATCAGTGGTCTTTGCATCTCATGAACTAGAGTGTTCCAAAAGTCAGGGCAGAGCTGAATAGATGGCTCCTTTGGCAAAGTGCTCACTTGGCAAGCATGGCAGCTTGAGTTCGAATCCCCAGCACCCACCTAAAAGTATGGATGCAGCTCTATGCTGCACTTGGAAGGCGGAGACAGAAGGACCCCTGAGGCTTGCTGGTCAGTCTAGCCAAACCCATAAGCCAACTCCACAAAAATAAGATGGAAAACCATAGAGGAAGTCATGGCCTCCACATACACACACATGCCTGCACATACATCTATACATATGTGTGCATGCATATAAAAAACACAGACAATGCAAAGCAATGCCCTGTGTTGTTTTTGTTTATTTTTTGGTTTATTTATTTCATGTGTATGAGTGTTTTGTCTTCATGCCTGGAGACTGTGGAGGTAATAACAGGGTACCAGAGCCCCTGGAACTTGAGTTACTAACAGTTGTAAGCTATCATGTGAATGCTGGGAACCAAATTCGGCAAGAACAGCCAATGCTCTTAAACACTGAGCATCTCTTGAACCCCTCTGTAGCTGTTTTCACACTCTAACTCCATTAGCAGAAACTGGCCTTCAAGGAAAGGTAAAAGCGGACCTCTCAGTTAGGTCACAGAGGTCACCTTGTAACTCATGGGGGGGGGGATTCATTCTTGTGAAACCAAGTCAGAAGTCCTCAGATGAGGCAGCCTGCCTGTTCTTCCCAATCAAAGCTTTTGTGAACAGCAGGGAGAAGTTGCTTTTTCAGAGAACTGAGCCCCAGAGAGGGACATGGAGTCTGAAAGCTTAGCCCCTCCCCAAGAGTCATTTGCCATATGGCCTTAGAAAAAAAGAGCTGACCTTGAAGTCCCTCCCTAGCGTTAGGAGTACATATGTCACTCTGGAGCTAACCCAGACAGGGTAGGCCACTGCCCAGCATGGCCTGCAAGGACACCCTACGTATTGGTGAGACTCCATTTTCCAATCCGTGCTCACCCAGGTGAGATACATCATTCACAGAAGTGCCTTTGCCCTCTGACTGCAGCTGCTGACCAAGGACCCTGAGAGCCGCCTGTCCAGCCTCAGTGACATCCAGAATACCACCTACATGGCTGACATGAATTGGGATGCGGTGTTTGAGAAGGCACTGATGCCCGGCTTTGTGCCCAATGTGAGTCAATGCCCCCTTTAGCAGATCCCTGCCTTGGCGTTAAGCATGACCCCTGCTGCTGACTGGTGCACTCCCTGGAGGTCACAGAAATAAGGTACCAACAGGTTCATGGTTCACGGAGATACAAGATATCTGGACCAGATTTCCAAAGTGTGCTTCTTGCAGTGGGCCTACAGGCTGCTGAGCCTCCCTGGCCTCACTCTCCTGTTTTAGCACAGTTGCTGGTTGGTCCCAGGGAGACAGCCATCTTGCTGAGAGCCCATCCTCACTGGCCTCTTCTCAGGAATCCCATGGCAATGCTCTAGAAGGCTCTAGAGGGCCTTGGCAACCACTGTCATGTGACTGTGAATGTGTGGGTGATGAGAGCCAACATGGCTGAGTGTGCACTCGGTGTTGGCATTGTTCTTAGAACTCCCTGTGCAAGAAGTTACACACTGTCCTGAGAGCGGGTCTTGTAAATATTCCGGGTGAGGTAAAGTAATTTTCCCAAGATGACCTGGGACAAGGCCAGCAGAACTCTGGCAAGGCAGGATCAAGGCATGCTTTTGAGTGGATGGATGGATGGTAGGCCTCTCAGGAGAGACTGGAGCCTGAATTCGAGGTTTTCCTCGAAAGATGGCAAATGCTGAGGTAAAATTGTGTAACCTGGAAGGGATTCCCAGCTAAGGTCAAGAAGTCAATGATGATGGGAGGAGCTCAGGCTCACGGGACTCACGGTAGACCCTAACAAACAGAACAGACATCGCTGTGTGTACGGGTCCCACTGAAAGGCAGGGTGTAGCCCCAAAAGTCCTGCCTCATTTTCTCATGTCTGCTCATGGCCCTCACCTGACAGCTGTGGAGGGCGAGCGAGGCTCACAGAGGGTTAGTGGCTCATAGGGGAAGAGCCAGGATTTGTCCCGGGTCCGTTTGTAAAGCCCCATCTTTCTCCATTCTCTGGGTGTGTCTTCACTGACCAGGTTTGAGACGGCCTGTCCAAACTGGTGTGGTCAGCAAACCCTACCTAGCTTGTGACTTAGGTTCAAGGCCAGCTAGCATTCCAGTGGTGGTTCTGGTACCATGACAGCTGAGAAAATGCCCGTTCTTGAAGGGGCAGCCACTGGATACTTAGTGGGTCTATCTCAGTGGATCCCAGCAGCCCTTGAAGTTGTTCATCTCACATAATGGTGGACACAGGGCAGGGCTCGTGTGTCACCTGGAGTCACCCAACTCAGAGGCAGGCTGCCCATGCCTGAGGTAGCACCTGGCTTGGATCCTCTTAACTGTGTCACAGCAAGCCATGCCCTCACAGGCTTGGGGACACGGAGATCAGGAAGGACTGAAGTATTTTTAAGAAACCATGAGCTGATTCTTTGGAAGTGAGGCTTTCCCACCGTCCTGAGTCTCCAGAAGTGAGGAAGCCTGCCCAGGACCAGAGAGCCACAGCACCAGGATTCCCCGTGCGACTACAGAGCTGTTGATGCCATAATCACAGGGCTGCATAGTCGAGGGGGGTGGTCATCAAGACAGCAGCCCTCCAGGACAGTCAGGATGGGTGGGGCTCCACCCTGCAGCAGGGCCTGGACTGGATGTGGACAGCTTCAGCTGTGAGAAGGAGGTAGTAAGCAGGACACAGAGGGCAAATGGCTTAGGCAGAGGCAGGTAGATCTCTGTGAGTTTGGTAAGACTCTGCCTCAGCCAAGGCTACCTCAAAAGTACATTATTTAAAATTTAAATTAAATTATGAAAAACCATAATAAGGAAGATAATGACATGTGAGTATGTCTATGATGAAAGAATTAGTAAAGTAAACTAAATAATAAATAAAGTAAAATTACATATAAAAAGAGTCACAGGATTTAGATCAGTGGCTCTCAATCTGTGGGTCCTGACCCCTTTGCAATTCAGACAACACATTCACTGGAGTTGCCTAAGACCACCGGAAAATACAGATATTTACATTATGATTCATAGCAGTAAGAAAGTTACAAAGTAGAAACAAAAGAAATTTTATGACTTTGTGGTCACCACTACATAAGGAACTGTGTTAAATGGTCACTGTGTTAGGAAGGCTGAGAACCACTGATTTAGACACAGGGAGTTAAGAGGCTGTGGTTGCCCCCGCTGGGACTGCGTCTCTAAAGGGATGGTGTGTGTGGTGAGACTGTATCGATTCATCATCAGAGAGAACCCAGGGTGCCAGCTAATGTCACCACCAAATGTGGAGATGCCTGGCTATGTGGAAAGGATGCACGGTTGGTGACGAAATAAACCCCAAACCATGCCTTTTCTATCCGCTTCCCCCCAGAAAGGGAGACTGAACTGTGACCCCACGTTTGAACTTGAAGAAATGATTCTAGAATCCAAGCCGCTTCACAAAAAAAAGAAGAGGTTGGCCAAGCATAGGTCCAGAGACAGCGCAAAGGACAGCTGTCCCCTGGTGAGCCCCCAGGGGAGGGTTCTGTGGGGGAAGAAGGGGACGTGTGGAGGAAAGTTCCTTCTTATTCAAAGGTACATTTCAGCCCTTCCCTCCCTCTGTGCCCTTGGGGAAGTGGTGCCAGGGCTCCCCACTTGATGCCAGTCCTGGAGATCCTCATACTCCTTGTATAAAATAATGGACTGTTTAAAAACCAGGGCACATCCACCATTACGCTGCAAATTGCTTTAGGATCACTTTCATCACGTGACACAGGACAAATGCTGTGCACATAGGTGTTGGGCATCACTGTTCAACACAGAACTCGCCAGCACAGGCCTATCTGCAGGGTGCCTGAGTGAGACAAGAGAGATGCTGGCAGGCAGCCAGGGCTCTGTGACACTAGGGAGGCTAAAGAGGGTGACTCACATGTCACTTCACTCCTGTGAATTTTTGCATGGTGTTCAAGGCACTTCAAATCTTAAGTTCTGCTCTATGGAAACGTCTAGAAATTTCATTTCTCAACATTTTCGGACTTCAGTCGGTTGGATCTGTGGGGGGGGGGGCATCACAGAGAGCTGACTTTACCACTTGTTTGAAGTATGCCTCCAGCATATGAATGATCTCTCATAGTGCAGGTCTGTGCAAGGATGGCTACAGAGGGAGTACCATCCACACTGAGACACCCAAGAAAAATACATGGCACCTCTGTCCCTGTGTACCTTTTGTGAAGGGCCTATCCTGCAGGGCTCACCCCCTGCATCTGCTCAGGCTGCACTGTGACAGTCCATCACAGTGGAGAAGGCATGGCAGCAGGTGCTTGAGGCATCTGGTCACACTGCACCCACAGTCAGGAAGCAGAGAGGGATGGATGCTGGTGCTCAGCTCACTCCCTCCCTATTCATTTTGGGGCCCCAGCCCATGAGACGGTGTGGCCCGCATTTAGGGTGGATCCCCCCACCTCAGCTAACCCAGCTAACCCTCACACGTGTGCCCAGAGCTTTGCCTCCCAGGTTTTCCTAAATCCCATGCCGTTCTATCCATCGCTGCCTTTCCCGGTTACACAGTCAGGTACCTTCTCATTCTGCAGAAACATAAATCTGCACTGTGGGGGGAATCAGGGGAGTTTTCTTGACATTTTCCTCAGCCCACACTGTCGTTTAAAACTGCAATCCCTCCCCTGTGCCAACAGCACCCTGCTTACCCCCATACTCCTCACTCCTGCCTGCAGTCTGACCTTTGACTAATTATCTCATCAGTTTTCCTCTCGGGTCACTAACCACCACCCATCCCAGCTCACCTGGCTTCCTTAGGACTCCCTGGCTGGTAGCTCCATCACTCCACCTTAAACATGGCCTCTCTCTCCGGGTCTCGGACTCTGTGCTCCTCATGCAAGGACACTGGTCGTTAGCTTCAGCCCCCACAACATGACATTTTGGCTCACCTTAACTTGAAGACCTGATCGCAGATGAGGCCATGTTCAGATATTATGGCTGAGGAGCTCGACATACTCTTGGGTGGGTGGGGGGGGGGAGATGCGACTCAGTCTACATCCTCCCCTTCCCCTACAAAATACAGGAGTTTAAATATGTTGCAGTTACCTTAATATAAAGGTAATAAAATGCTTATTTTAGTTCTCTAAAATAAAATGAAACCATCTTGCCAGTCTCTGGAAGTGTCACAGGCCTGTGACCCTGAGCTAGTCATCCCAAAGGCTCAAAGAGGGGAAGTGGCTTCATTGCACCAGGTACCACCAACATTCAACTTCTAGGGTCATCCCCATAGCATTCTGATCCTGGAAGGACCACTTGACATGAGCATCTTGCTCTGAACATCTCCTCCTCTGCATCCTGAAACAGGCTTGAACAGCATCCAAATATGAGGGAGCCCAAACTCAGAAGCACCTGGCATGTTCCATCTTAGAGTGGATTCTATGATTTTACCCCTTAAAACCAAGAAACACATTTGTCTGCACACACAGTTGCTGGCCCCAGCCACTGACTGAGCTTGTTTCTAAGTCTCAAGTGACCACAGTTCTCATTTAAATAATTTAAATAAACTAGTTGCCCTTAGTGTCCCTCTGCCACATCCTCTAGCCAGTGCCCTGCCATTTAGTCCCCTCTCTGTGCTTTTTTTTTGGCAGAACGGACACCTGCAACAGTGTTTGGAGACAGTGCGGAAGGAGTTTATCATATTCAATCGAGAGAAGTAAGTTCTGTACATCCAGGTGGAGTCTGTCCCCCCAGGCCAAGGCACCCAGAAGAAATGCAGTCGCCCTTGGGTTCCATCACCTCTGGACTAAGCCTATCCCCCAGAACTAAGGGCCCCAGGAGAAGGTGGTCCAGCCCCACCAACAGTGAGTGAAGGCCAGCAGCCCTGGTGCTGGAAGAGAGGGAGCCATGCCCAGGCCCTGGAGGGAAGGATGATTCTAGATTTGGAATTAGGAGCTGGTTTTTAATCCTCAAAAGAAGTAGGCTCTGCTGGAGGTGTGGGATAATGTGGAACCCTCAGAAGTTCTTGAGGCAAGGTCCTTAGCCTCTCTGAGCTTGCTTGCCAGCAAAGCAAAGTGAGAAGAATTGCTCCTTAGGATGTAGAGTCTGTGGCACAGAGTCCAGCAAGCAGAAGAGGATGCTCAGCAGGGAAAGGATAGCTGTCACTGCTGTTGGTACTTGGGTTAAGAGATGAAGCATGCGGGAACTTCTACACTTAGGCAGGTAAGGCATGGGATGATGTGAGTCTGGCAGTGGCTGCGCAGGGTCTATCTGTCTGTCTGCTGGTGATGTAATTCCCCATCATCAGCTAATGAAAGGCTAAGAAGCCTGCTCAAATGGCATCTGAGTCTCAGCAGTTGTGCATGGTGTACCCTCCATCTAGGACAGGAGTGAACACAGGGCATAAGCAGGACAGACCCAAGCTTGCTGGGTCCCTAGCAACACCAACAAGAGTGGCAGCCTCTCCAAAGTACAGGACAGTGCTAGGGAAAATAAAGTCAGGGGCCCTGAAACTTCAGGAGGAAATTTCATGTAGAGATAATGCTGGTTGAGAAGGCTCTCAACAGTTTCCTGAGAACTTGGCTCCCATGCCAATTACACTCAGGTTTGCATCGCAGGAAATTTAAGTATGATATTCAAGAGGGCAGCTGATCCCAGCATGCTCATCTCAGGCAGGAAAGGACAGGAAAAACACAGCCATCGGAAAGGATGTGAAAGCTATTCTAGATCAGGTACCATGACTGTTTCTGTACAGTCATCTCCACCTGCTTCAGTATTGATACTAAGTATGGCACAGTGTGTGTGTGAGAGAGAGGGGGGAGTAGAAAGAGAAGGAGAGAGAGAGAGAGACTCTTGCCTGAAGTTACTGTTGAAACATTTTAGAGAGAGCTGCGTGAGATTCCACACAGCTTTGGGGGGGACTCGGGCCCGTAAGTCCTCTTCAAGATCCAACCCCACACTGACTCTTATTAACATTTTGACAATTTAGAGACATTAGTGTGCTTTCCAAGTGAAGAAACCCAGCAATGTGTATGATAAATAAGCTTGGTTAACAATCTGATGAGCTCTAGAATCATCCGGGAAATGGGTCTCTTAACATGTCTCTTGGGGTTATCCTGATATCATTGAATGTCATTACATTAGGTGGGAAGACCCCCCCTCCCCTCCCCTATGGGTGTCACCATTCCCTGGCTGGACTCCTGAATTATATAAATGGAGAGAGGGAGCTGTGAGGCAGCTTGCATTTATCCCCTCCTTGGCTGTGGATTGACATGACCAACTCCCTGAAGCTCTGGCCATCGGGACTTCCCTGCTATAATGGATTGTACTCTGGAACTCCAATAAACCCTTGATCATTAAATTGCTTTTGTCATAATGTTTTATCAGAGCAACAGGAAAGGAAGCTGAGACAACACCAATGGGAAAATGTGTCAGATATGGAATATTAGCAGGATTCTCTGAAGCAAGCACATAGAACACTGACAACTTCCCCTGTGAGATCCTTACATTGTTACCCACTGATTAGCCCTTATTTTATACACAGGCTTCTTAGGAAAGAGCCATAGATTGGCACTTCACACCACTCTGTTGAGAGTTATGAAGCCCCTCTGAAGGAGGGTAGCCCCACATCACTGGAAAGAGCCAGTATGGATAGAGAGAGAGATATTGCCATAGCCCAGGGACACTAAGGGATGGCTACCACCACCAATAGCTGGAGAAGGCGGGGAGGAGCTCCCAGAGAGTTCCGAACTTGAAACCCCATGAACACGATGGGAACCCAAGATGAGTGTAGCCACTCTTTCCTCTGGCTGTTTTGGGAAAGAAATGGGTTGGAGAAGAGGACTGATTAGTGCTTGAGGCTGGCTGGAAATGGCAAGAGAAATGCCTAGTGTCAGAAGAAACAGCCCCTCCAACAGACACAAGCGTGGCTGCCTCCCTGAACCCAGAGAGAATTCTGCCAGGAACGGTGCACAGCCAGGAAGGTCAGAAATAGTGTTTTGTACGTGAATTTTGGGCTCCTCTCCAACGCGCTGTGGCCCCCAGCAGTTCTCAGCTCCTTTCTGCCCCTTCCCTTTGCACTACAGGAAGATGGAATTGGGGAGAGGCCAGGAAGGCTGCTGTGGGTGCCTCACTTGTAATTCAACACCAAGGACTTGCACCCAAAGACTCCAGTAGCTCCCAGGTGCAGTCTTGGATATGGGAACCTGGGGTTTGGTGAGACTTGCTGGAGCTCTCTAGAGGAGGCAAAAGCATTCTTGAAGAGTCTTGAGTTTCCCCAACCAATTCTTTGCTTTCTGTGCTTCAATACCTGTCCTCTATCTCCAACCAGATAATTAGGAGTCCGTAATTCCACCTGCATCGGAGTTCAGACGGGGAGGAGGAGGAGAACAGTTGGGAAAGAGCCTCGTGGGGGCCTGTGGCTAGCATAAGCGTGTTTTCTAGTCTGGACAGAAAATATAGGTGTCTGCTTTCCAGGTAGAGTGATGCAGTGCCTAGACTTGTGAAACACTGGCTCAGGGATAAGTTACCCTTCTCATCAGGTTCTCAAGATCCATAGAACTGTGTGTGAGTCCACCTGCTGTCTCCGTCCCTGAATCTACTGAACATGCTTTTATCTTCTGTCACATTAGTGATAGCCAGCTTGTTAAGGATAAACCTAGAGGCAAGGGCATGGCTCCATTTGGCACATTTGCCTTTCTGAAACCTCCTAATCATTTCAAATCTGCTTTGAGGTGGTGTGTGTCTGTCTGTCCATTTGTATTATCTGTAGAGAAGCAGGGTAGGCCACATCTCTATCTGAATTCTTGGGACTACAGGATTTGGCATTTGGGGTCCTTCTGGCTTTGGTGTGACATGGCTTAGCACCAGAGCTTAGAGCATTTGTAAACATCCCCTGTGGTTCTCTCTCAACACTGATAGCTAAAATGGCAAGTTTGCTTAGAAATTCAATGTTTCCTGTCATAGAAATAGACAATCTACATGGGTAGCATTCAAATCTGCCCACTGACCAATCTGTAAGTCTGTACAGTCCTGTTTTGTTCCTCATCAGTTAGGCATATCTGGTATGTGAACTGAAAGTGTGTGAGCTCTTGGGACCCACTGTAGTGGCCTTAGCTTTGAGCCTTGTTTATAGATTCCAGAAGACAGTTCCTCACAGCGAGGGTTCCCTGGTTGCTCTCTGACCACTTCAAATGAGAGCCTGGCAAGTGGGTAAGATGAGGAGAAGAATAAGATATGAACAGGTAGATGAATGGAGGGCAGAAAGTCTGTGGGAGCAGAAACTGATGACGGATAGGTGATACATGGATGGATGATGGATATACAGATGGTTGATGTATGCATAACATATGCATTATGCATGGATGGATTGCGGGGTAAGTGGATATCTCAGTAGATGGAGAAGATAATAGATGGATGGAGAGACAGATTAGATGGGTCAATATGTTGTTAGGGATGGATGGAAGGTGAGTGAATGGGTGAAGGATGTGTAGATGCATAAATGGAGAAATGGTAGGAAGGTATACAGGTGGGATGACAGACAGATATGAGAGCAGGTAGACAAATGGATGGTAAAATGCATGAATGTGACCATAGACAAGTAACAGATATATCTATAGACAATCAGATTAAAAGTTAGATGGGTAGGAAATGTATATGTAGATGGATGGATGATGGATAGATGGATGGATGGGTGGGTGGGTGGATGGATGGGTGGATGGGTAGGTGGGTGGATGGATGGATGGGTGGGTGGGTGGATGGATGGATGGTTGGGTGGGTGGGTGGATGGATGGTTGGGTGGGTGGGTGGATCAGTGATGGATGGATGGGTGGGTGGATGGATGGATACTGTGGTGGGGAAAGCACCAGGCTTCAGAGTATCCCAGAAGAACAGCCCACCAGCTTCTAGTCCTGGCAGCTGGAGAAAAGAGCAGGGAAAAGCCCCCCCCCCAAGTCACTGTCCTATGTAACAGTGCTATGCCACTGAGAGAGCTCACTCAGACACGGGCATTGGTGCACACATATATACCTGGCACACTCACACTCACACCCAGCTGCCATCTGTCTGAGGTGCAGATTCTATATGGCTCGTCTTGAGATCATCCATTGCACCCTGAACATGCCAGGCACTGTTTTTCTTAATCAAATGGACTTTTGCTTTAATGAAGACCATGGTGTGTGGCCACCACCTGCTATGCCATTTGAAAGTAATGTTATATATACTTCAGGCCAATTCCATCTGAAGCCTGAAGCCCATGAGTAAGGTGTAACTTCTCTCCCCCCCCCCCCCCCGTGTGTGTGTGTGTGTGTGTGTGTGTGTGTGTGTCTGCATGTGGAGGTCAGAGATTGGTGAGCAGTCAGGATCTGACTGTTTTTGCCTCTCTAGTATTGGCATTCCAGGACACCATATCTAGCACTATAACTCTAACCCAAACTTGCATAGCAAGCACTTTATAGACAAGCCATCTCCTCAGCCCCTCTTTGGATTTTAAAAGGCAAGTTTTTGCTATGCATCCCCGACTTGCCTGAAACACTATAGCCTGAACTGGCCTCAGACGTATGGTGATCCTCCTGCCTTTGTCTTCCAAGAGCTGGAATTATTGAATGTACTGTCCCAGGAATAGTAGGAATTACTATTTCCAGATCCATACTGCTGACTTCCCTTACACCTATCTGATCCTGTAGCCTCCTATGCACCATAAACCTCGCTTTAGCTAAGGAAACAGGTCCTCAGAGATGCTAAGCAGCTTCACCAAAGCAACTAGGGAGGTTAGAGCCTGGGTTCTTCTGCTGGTCCATTGAAGGCCTCTGTTCCTCCTCTGGCCTGTACCATGAATGGGCAAGCGACAGCTGTAGCATAGTGAGTGAACCTGAACTTGAAGATCGAAGAGGGAGGGATACGGACATTTCCCAACCTATAACAGGTGGCTAGCTGCTAAGCAATGCAGTGTTCGGGCTCCTGATCCCTCTGCATGGCTTTTCCTGGAGTGTTTTGTTTTGTTTTGTTTTGTTTTGTTTTTATCAGTCTGCATGTTTGGTTATTCAGATGTTTGTCTCTGGGATGTTTTGGCCGCTACCCATCTCCTCTTTAGCATAAGCTCTGCGAGGACAAAGAAGATGGTTTCTTTGCTTGCCAGCATAGCCCCTGCCCCCCAGGCATGGCTACCACTACATCTATGGGTATAAACAGAATAAATGGTGCATGAGTTCACCAACCAGCTTGAACTTGAGCAAATTAATTACATCCGTGATACCACAGGGGTTGACAAGGTTGGAATTATGATCTCCATTTTATAGACAGAGAAGCTGAGACTCTGTGTATTAAGTCACTCACCAGGCATAACCAAGTGGAACACTGCGGACTCCCACAGAGTTATGTATTTCTGGGGGGGGCAGATTCCAGCTGTCTATCAGGAGTCTCTCACAAGTGTGTGACCGTACCCATCCTGCCAGCACTAACCAGTCTGTGTTGTGCTTATTGCAGGCTCAGGAGGCAGCAGGGACATGATGGTCAGATCTCAGACCTGGAAGGCCAAGCAGGAAGCCAGGTCTCAAGCAAGCTGCAGGACGGTCGAAACAACAATATACTGACCCATACATGCACCAGAGGCTGCAACAACTAAGCTCTCCGGCCCAGATGGCACCCTTTCTGCCCTGATACCAAGAATTCCTCCTCTGTGCCCTGATGGTCCCTATCTTATCCCTAAAACATCAGATACAGAAAGAGCTCTGCATTCAGATCTGAGGAGCATGGACTTTGGTCCCTGCTTCAACTGATTCGCTGTGTGACCTTGAGCAAGTCACACCTTCTCTGTGCCTCAGTTTTCTGCATCTGTGGAAGGGGTTAACAGTTCTCTGCCCTGTCTCCAGCCACAGAGCTGTGAGAATCCAGCTGGACTGCTTACATGCAAATCCTTGGGCATTGATAAAAGTGTTTATACATTAACATATCTCAACATTTGAAGTGTCTGTCCTCCTACCCTCGCTCAAAAAAAAAAAAAAAAATTTAAACCATGCAACCATGCTAACTTTGCAATTTGGCCCATCCTAGTTTGTTAGATGGACTTTCAACAATACAAATAGCTGGCATGTTTGCCCCTCTATTGGGACTCCCAGGTCTCAAAGCAACCAAGAAGAGTCATCCACAAACTTCCTGGTCTTCTGAAATGGTGCAGCATACAGTTCAAGCCCAGGGGCTCCATGCTGTCGACATGCTTCTCCCTGACTCATGGACAGTCACCCCAAACTCTGGATTCCAGCAATCACCAATTCTTGCCATACCCCATATCCTCATGCTGGATGGCACTCAGGTGCATCTCTGGTTACTTCCTCCTCCCACAGAGTGGCGTGGGATCCCAGAGAAGACTCATCCTGCAACAGAACCTCAATCCCCACCATCCTTCCAGATTTTCTTTCCCAAGAAGGGCATAAAACAGGCCAGTCAGTCTGGCATGCAAAGGGTGCCTGGCTGTGGAGCTGGAGCCTCCCTGACGCCTCTTACCTAGTGTAAGGCCGTATGATGGCATCTCCCATCAACCTAGTCTATTGAGGATGAGAGCAGGATCACTCCAGAAGCAAAGCATTTTATAACCTGGCCAGAGATCAGTTGACTCTGGAGCTGTGGATGCTGAGGCAAAGAAGCCTAGGGCTTTGCATCCAATCGGCAGCTGCTGCCAAGACTGGAAGACGTCTGCAAGTCACATGATTGCTCAAGGGTCAGTTTCTTCACTTTCAAACAGGAAAGAGAAGGTTGACCTTTCAGAGTTGTTACAGGGCATGATAAGATCCCACGTGTGACCCAGTGATGACTGACAGCCGAGAGTCATCTGTCATCACTCTCATCCTCCTCACCTTACCATCATTAGCATCTTCATCCTCCTCCTCATCTTCCTCATTATCATCATCACCATCACCATCACAATCACCATCCCCCTCTTCCTCTGCTGGAGCTACTTTCTTGTTTTGCTGACATGGCAGGTCCATTTTCTGTGGACCAAGGACCCTCCAAGTTTACAGTTTGTTTGGTTTTGTTTTTTTTTTTTTTTTTTTTTTTTTTTCCTGCCTGGAGCCTCTGAGGTCTGGACATCCGTGCTGAGATCAACTGTTTCGGCTTTTACATCCATTTCTATTTTCTACTTTTCTGCTGTGATTTGAGTCTGTCAGTGTCATCTCTTAGATCTCGTGAGAGACCTTTCAATGTATAGTAAGTTTTACACTTTTCCTCAGAGAACGGCACTGCTACCCTCCCTTTACCCGAGTCTCTTCATATCTGTCTCCTGCCCACTCCATGTCTCCAGGCCCTGTTTGTCCCTCCTGTCCTCCAGGGTGTCCCAGCTGCTCTTCTCTACACTGTGACCTGGAAGTATTACAACTTCTCGTTGGGATGAGCACATGAATGAAGGATGGAGGTCGCAGGGTGGGGAACCCAGATTTCTTGGCGCTGTTTCAGTCCATGTACCTTGTTTGGAATAAACGATCACTCTAACGTTCCTTGTAAGACTGCTCTTAATTCCAGGATGGGTGGGCTGGACCTTCTTATAGATAAGGGGCTCGGATTTAATTAGAAGCAGAGATGGGATGGAAGGGTGAGCTAATCAGATTTCTGTCACTATAGTAACACGTCTGAGATAACAAACTTAGAAAAAGGTTTCTTTTGGCTTCTTTCTACAGCCTGTGGGATATGGCAGGGGTATGTGGTGGACTGCCTCACATTGCAAGTCAGGGATGAGAAAGACTAATGAGTGGTCAAGGTCCCACTATGTCCCACAAGGGCTTGCCCCAGAGACCTAAAGTCCTCAAGGCCCCACCTCTTAAATGTCTCACTCCCTCCAAATACCACCTTTCTAGGGCCACCCCTTTAAGACATAAAACCCAGGCTACAGCAGATGGGGTGCTGTGACAATGACACCCCGACTTTTCCCACAGATGAGCTTGGCTATTCGAGGGTCTCCCCACTTGACTACCATTTATATTATCACTATGCGTTTATAAAAAGAGAATCCGCCCTGGAGGGTAGAAATCCAGAATATGGGGCACATAGACAGACCTGCGTACTAATGTCCTTGAATTGCCAGGGGGCCCTCTTACACACAGGAGCGCAGGAGCCCGTGTCTTCAATGTTCACAGGCTTCTTGACTTCCTCACTGCCTTCCAGCCTTTCCTCTCCACGGGGATGACTTTCGGCTTTCATCTGTGTAGGGCACTGCAACCATTTCTCAGAGGTCAGTGCCACCTAGGCCAAGTCTCTTGGCCCCGTGGCAACACTAATCTACATCAGGAATAGCTTTTCTCCGGGAATGTCCATGCAAGTTCCTCATAGCTTTCACACCGTGTGCTTAGTTGAGGGGAAAACAAATGGTTTTTTTTTTTTGTTTGCTTGTTTGCTATCGATGCAGCACTTGCTTTGGACAAGACCACCCCACCCACTCCCCAGGGCTTTCTCTCTTCAATGTCATCAAGGACTGCCCCTCTTCAAGGGGCCCAAGTCCCAAATGAGTTTTCACTTATCTCTCATCCAACCTTCATTCCCAGAGTGTATGACCTCAATCCGGCTTTGGCAGAGGAACAATCAGATCATACACATTATCCCTCCTTTTGTGTGAGACCTGCCTGGGGAGACACAGAAAACATCTGCTTACCCCAGACAGGGCCACTGACAGCAGACTAAAAGAATCATCCCACCAAAAGGCCAACTTGGTGAGCCAATGAGTGTATTAGAGCCACTTATGTGACTCGAAGGCGGCTATACTGCACAAAAGACCAACACAGCACCAGTAGTGGATGACTCATGAATATTGCCATCTTGGCACACTCTGCACAACTACAGGCTTCTCAACAGATGGGGAAATCTCCTCTCTTTGGCAGTCTTTACTGTTTAACCCTGGGGAAGAAGCGGCTCCTGAAACCTGTAAGCTTCAGGGACTTTCTGGGACTGTGTTGTTCACTTGCTTACACGTATGGAGCCTGTGGATCCCTCGCCCACCCAGTTGGGTGGATGTAGGAACCATCATTCTAGATAGTGAAAGTTACACCATTTTGACATTGTGGGTGTCTCAGAGATGATCCTTAAACCTCAAAGACCCAGGTCCACGCAGACCACACTGCAGTGGCAAGGACCTAAGCCTCTGCTGTCACCCTGACAGGCCACCTGCTGGTGTCTAGTCAATATAAGGCAGTTTTACCCCTACAGTGTCAACCCCAAGACCTTTCAACAGAGGCCTGGATAGCCCACAGAGCCGAAACATTTCCCAGTTGACCTTGCTCAGAAAACGTTTGCAGCACTCAGTCAAGAAAACACCCTGGGGCCATCATATTACAAAGTCAAGTGTCATCTCCCTATAAAAGGAAAAGAATCTCCCTGGAAAGTCATCTCATGTGACAGGAGGTGGGTAAGTCATGATGGTAGCGTCCTCAACGGTAGGAGTAGTGCCCTTATTCAAAAGGCCAGAGGCGTGTCCCTTCCACCATGTGAGGCTGAGGCGTGAGAAGGCCCCATGTGAAGCAGGGAATGGACCTGCACCACACACTGAACCAGCCTTCCAGCTTGGATTTCCCGGTTCTCAGAACCACAGCAGACAAACTTCTCTTCTTCATAAGCCACCCAGTCTACGGCATTATGCTACAGCAACCTGAACACACATGCCATTTCCTGAGCTAGAACTTAGTAATTAAGGGTAGAGTCTAACAGACTTCTGACTCTGCTCTTCTTGTCTGTCCCCAAGCCAGCCACCAGATTCTCAAGGAAGCTTGGGAAACAGCAGCAAAATGGACTTCCAAATGTCTACATCATTATTAAACAGCTGGAAATCTGCTCAGAGGATCAAGCAGAAGCAGGAAACACAGAACCCAAGCCTTAACAAGGTCTCCACCTTTCCTAGAACTTATCTTTGGCACCAGCAAACTCTGAGTATGATCCTAGAAGCTCAGTTGCTGGGAACAGTGGCTCCATTGATGGCCCAGGTCCAGACCCATTAGAAAAGAAATCTCTATCTCATTACAGAGTGATGGGTGAGTATGAGGGGCAGACAGGCCTGGCATGGGGAAACTCTCTTGTATTAATGACTAACCTCAATTTAAAACAAACAGACATCTGGCGTAATAGTGCACACTTTCAATTCTAGTTCCAGGCCAGCCAGGACTCATAGTCAGACCCTGTTAGAAGAGAAGGAAGGGAGGGAGGTAAGGAGGGAGGGAAGGAAAATGGGAACTGGCTATGAATTACCAGAGGTCCAGGAGAGTGACTGCTAAGGAATGAGACAGCTGGTGGCTATGCAGAGCAAAGAACCATCACCAGATGAACATGCTCCTAGTTCATTGAACAGTAATTTACTAATGTGTCTTCATTTGACATGTATGCCAAGGTTATATAAGAAGCTCACCCTGGGGGAAGGTGAGTGAATGGCACTAGGGAATTTTAATGCCATCTCTGAAGCCCTTTGACAAATTCAAAACCATCTCAAAACAAAAGCCTCTGAGAATCTGTCCACAGAAGATAGGGGCTCCCACCCACTCTCCTCCATTCCTTCTACCCTCATCCCTTGTTGCTTCTTTTTTTTTTTTTAAAAAAAAAAATGGAATTCTACTCTATAAAGTAACTGAAGTAGTGTGGGAGTTGAGACAAAGTTCCTAATGGTAGGCATCATCAGAGCTTCCACAGCAAGGAGCATCACTCTGTCTGTCCCAGCCTGACAGATGCTATTCCATGACACAAAACCCTTAGCCAGTCTTCCCTTCCAGGAAGAAGCCCAGAG